CGCTATCCCTATGACATCGTAATTGTTTGCACTGAGCAGGAGGATGAGTTCCTCTTGCTTATTCCCCAAGCTCCTGGCATTAGTGTACAGGCAGGCAAGTGCCCCCTGGGGGCTCCTTCCTTGCCCACAGATTTTACCAGGGCTGGGGCAGGGGTGGGCTCCCTGAAGCGCCGTGATCCGCTGGCTTTGCAAGGATTGCTCAGCGGGCCAGCAGTGGTGGTAGTCCCCCTGTCCCCCAACAGGCTTAGTTTAAAGCCCGGTGGAGCAGGTCAGCCAATCTGGCTGAGAAGAGCCTCCTCCCTAGGGGAGAGAGGTGGAGGCCATCTCTTCCCAGCAGCTCGCTGCCTCTCTCACCAAAGAGCGGTCTGTGGTCATGAAAGCCAAAGCCTTCCTGACGACACCAGCGCTGCAGTCTTTGGTTGACCACATAGATCCTCCTGTCCCTTCTCAGCCCATAGCCTGAGACTGGGATTAACACTTTTCCTCTCAGAATTGTTATTTTTTAAACTTAGAATTTACTGGGAACATTTTAAACTGAGTAATATCACTTTTGGTTTCTGAGCAGTAATTCAATAGTATAAATATGTACCTTTTATCATGGAAAATTGAATGTTTGTTTTTCTGTACTTTACCAATATTTTCAAATTGGCTTTTGTAAAATTTTTCACTGTTAAGTGCGTGTGGCCCCCATGCCTTACAGGAGGCATGGGGGCCAGCTCAGCTTGTGGCACAGGCAACTTCTGTAAGTGGTACGCAGCAGATTGGGTAGGGGTGAAGCAGCCTGGTGGCAGATAGGGCAGGGAGCAGAAAGCAGAGCAGCGGATCAGGAGCAAAGGGCAGGGAACAGAAAGCTGAATAGCAGATCAGGTAGGCAGCACAGGGCAGGGAGCCTTACTGAAGACAGCCAGGCCCCTTACTTCCTGAATGAGGACTGCCTTGCAAACTGCTAACCAGTTTTGGAGGGAGAAAGCTACCTGTTAGGGCTGGTGGGTGAAGAGAAACATAGAGTCCTGTGGTCATCCACTGCTCACTTTTTTTCACCTCTCCACAACTGTGTCTGACCTGGGGACAACAGCCCCTTTTCTTATGTGTGTAGACGTACCATTTCATCCCTGGTTCTTCAGTTTCCCTTGGAATAGTGGGCTGCCTTCCCCTAGCTGCACTTTCATTTTATTTTTCCCTTCACCTTAGTTTGCCTGAACATTTTCTAGACCCTCTCCTTGTGCTTGTATCCCCATTATTGCCTCCTAGTGCCCGAGAGACCAAGTCTTAACTTGTTGGGGACCCTGTTCGAGCCATGCATGAGGCTTCTGCTCTGGTAACTTTGCCCATGGAAGGAAGGTGTGACAAAGGGGGCATCCTTACCACTGCTGTCTTCCATCAGCTTGCCTCTCCACCCAGCGTTGAGATCCTCAGCACTAATATAGGAAGGGACTCTACTGTCGTAAGTACTGCTGAAGCTACCATCTCTGATGCATTCTTATATGGTAGAAAGGATTAGGGTAAGAAAAAGAGCAAAGACACTGCCTGAAAGCCTCTTCCTGCAGTTGTTGTCACTACCCATGTTACACGATTTGCAGTACTGCTTTCCCCTAGCATGCCTCCCACAAATTCTGGGGGTACCAGTTCTCCAGTTGCTGGGTCATATGCCCAGAGAGCTGCAGCTCTTCTCGATCTTCCAGCATCACCATCAGCTGTAGTTCCACCACTTCAACCATTGCCTCTTCCCACATGTGTAGCAGTCTTTTCCACCCTAACCAGGAGCCGTAGTATCTGCGCTCTCCTACTGGCCATCTTTCCTCGCATTAAAATCTACATCCCAGCGAAGGTGGGAACAGTACGGTTCTCTACCACAGTGCCAGCCTTGGAGAGATATGGAGTGCTGTCTTCGTTCTGTCACTGGAGAGAGCTGCTAAGAAGTTCACGGAGGAGGCCATCTTGCTGTGGAATGCCATGAGATCTTCTCATCAGCCTCTTCCTGGTACTAACCAAGAGGATTACATATGAGATTAGACGCGTGAAACTCTGTAATGGGTTTCTTTAGCACTTTGGTCTATTTCTTTTCCCTTGTTACCTCATTATCTAGTCAGATTTCCTTTGGGTGGCATCCACCAGTTCCTGAATGCCTTCGAGAAACTGTCTTCTCCTGAGTTGTCTTCACTGTTCCCTTCGTTTGCTTGCTTATGAAAATATGACGGCACTCCTGCTCCTGTTTTCTTGTTCTTTATTTCCTACCTTTCCAGCACAGTGGGGCAGACCTTTAGTTTTGAGAGTGCTGTGGGTAGTCAGCATGTGCCCAGCTCCCTGTGCTTGTGTGAGGAAGTAGGGAGTATTTCTTTTCCCTGCCCCCTGCTTGCTGCCGCCCAAGAGACCCAGTCTGCACTGTGGCCAGGCACTGTCCCTGGCTCCCTGCATGCATGGGGGGAGGGGGAAAGGATTCCATGCCTCCCTCCCACTTTCTGCTGGCTAGAGACCCGGGCTCTGTTCCAGCCAGGTGGGGTGTCTCCAGTGCCATGTGTATGTGGGGTGAAGTAGGGAGAGGATTTCCACTCTGCCCCCCCCCCCCCCCCCACCCCCCACCCGTTCATGGGGATGACTCCTTAGTACAAGGGCAGGGAAAATCCAGCCTGTGGGCTAGATCTGGCTTGCCAAACGATTCTATCTGGGCTTCAGGGCCCCTAAAATTTTAGAAAGTTAATATTTATAGGCTCCTGGCTGTCTGTCAAGGATGACAGGAGCCAGAGGCAGTAGGATCCAGGAGAAGCCAGCAGGACCCAGCAGCCTAGCTCTGCACCACCCAGAAGCCTCTGCCTAGTAGAGGCTTATAGCCTGAGACCAGGGAGATGTTCCTGCCTCCCTGTCCTCTCTTCACCCCGCATATGCTTGTCTTGTCTCTTTGTTCTTCTCTTCTCACAACTAGTTTGTGATCTCAGCCTTTGTCCAAATGCTACACTAAATTTTAACTGTGGATGAGAGGAGATTGATGACCAGTGAGACCATTCCAGTCACACCTCAAAAGCTTTATTAAGATAGCAATAGCAATTGCTTATGTAGCCTTGGATTCAGGGAAGAAATAGGTCTGCTGGCCAGGCTTCTCTGTTCCCCTGGGAACTACAGCTGGTGTGCTGAACTTCAGAGAAGTCCAAGGTTTTTTTTTAGCCTATGTCCAGTATTTATAATGGGCTCTTTCATATTCTAATAAATGGTCTCAGATTGGTTTTATTTACATTTATTTGTTTTACTATAACTTTTAGAACCAGACTGAACTAGATCTCATCAGCTCGGAGCGCTTGGGAAAGTTCAAAGGGATGACTTCTTCTCTTTTCTTAACACTGACCTGGTTACTTCTTTGCTCTAGTTTATGGTCTTCTGGCAAGGTTGTTTTGTTTCTACAAATCATCTAAGCATTTTATTAAAAATACATCTATTCTAGCAAAATAACATTTTTAATACATTTACTCACACACTACTTGTAATATTTTAAGTTAAAGCTAGAATATAATATATTGGTTAATTATGTTTTGTTAGATCTGTTGATGGTGTTTATGAGACATACTTTGCCAGTTAAGTTTCACAGATATTTGCTAAATGTAGAAAAATAGTAATTCTCAGGGATTTTGGGTTCTACTCTTGATTTGTAAGGGTGTTGTTCTTGTGGGCGTGGGTTCTCTTGGCCTGCTTTTCTCCAAACTTGACCCCACCTCCCCAACCCTCTTCAGGCTGTTCCAGGATTGTCTCTACCCCACCACTTGGTCATTTTCCTCACCTGTCTAATCAGTCTCCATTTTTAGACTTCTGCCCCAGTCATAGTCTCTCTGCCCAATAAGTCCCTTTTAGATTCACTAACCCCATACTTCCCTCCCACCCCGACTTCTGCTTCTAATTCCTTGCCTTGTCATTCACAATCTTCTTTTCCAGCCTGTTCCAGTTCTCTACAGATCCTAACTACAGTATCATGTTTCTTTTACTTGGTGGCCTACAATTATCACTTTCATACTATGTTTCCTGTTCCCACAGGCTTTCAGTTCTAGTCTTCTTCCCTAGACTTCTCAGCTAATATCATGGTTCCTTTTCCTAGTTTCTTTACCCAGCTAAGTCCATTTCTCCCCCTGTACCACTAGTCAGCTATGTCTTTCCCTCATCCTCATGGGTTACCAGTCTTGTTCTCTTTGCATTTCCTTCAAGACTCTTAGACACAATCTTTGTTTCCATACTTAACTCCCAGGCTAATCCCTTGGCCTATCCTATCCTAGCCTAGTTTCTACCTAATGCCTATCTTCCTGTCTCTAACCTCCAGGCTCCATATCTCTGTCTGCTCCCCTGGTCTTTCCTTGCAATGCTTTGTGGCTAGCTGAGGTTCCCCTGCATTTGATTTGGGAAGTTTCCTCCTCTGTGCTGTCTATTTGCCAACAAGGGGATTCAGGATTCCTATTCTCAATCTTAGTGCTTGCTCCTCTGGCTCAGAACAGCCAGGATCTGACACTATAAGGAAAGTCTGGGTTCAGCCCTGCAGTCCATGTAGGAGGTGTATGAAGTTTGAGCATACCTAGTGTGAATGGAAGCTTTGGATATTTTACCTGTTAAGATCTAGCAACTCTTCACTGAACATGTCTAAACTCCTGCCCTCTCTCCCTCAGAGGCTTGTAATTTGCCCAGATAAGGCAGATTTTGATGGGGACAGCAAAAGGACACCAGCTTTTTTCCCCAATACTGAATGTCTATTTTTTTCTAGCTTTGTTTTGTTCAATGGCTAAACCATTTTGGCTTTAATTTTCCAGAGGAATACAGCTTGAAGGATGCTTGGCATGGAATGTTTCAACTTAAAGGTTTAAAGTTTGGTTAAGTTGTAAGCAGGTGAAAACAGTAATGTAAAATTTTGGGCAACCTTAATAGTAGGCAGTGTTACCATGTCTATCTACAATATGACTATTTAATCTCTTGCTATTCCTCTGAAATGCATTGAAATCTCCATTTCCCCTCTTTTTCTTTTTTTTTTAAAGCCTATGGAAAAGTGTTCTTAGTGAGGAAAGTAAGTGGCCATGACGCTGGAAAGCTTTATGCCATGAAAGTATTGAAAAAAGCGACAATAGTTCAAAAAGCCAAAACAACTGAGCACACGAGGACGGAACGACAGGTGCTGGAACATATTAGGCAATCGCCATTTTTGGTCACGTTGCACTATGCTTTCCAGACAGACACAAAGCTTCATCTCATTTTAGGTAAGTGTTTTCCATGATTCAATCTCTCTATTGATGAATTTTTATATTATTTATTAACATTCTGTAGTTTTTTGGTGTTGTCTTGAGTTGTGCTTCTGTTGGTTACATATTTGAGCAGTAATATGCAAAATAGTGTATTATTTTGCTTCCCTCTAATGGAGGTTTTGTTGAACTTTAATAATTTGTTCATTTTATTTTTTTTTAATTATGAATGACTCTCACATGGCATAATTTCTTATGATCACAAGAAATATAAGTATAGATGTAAAAATAAGATATGTTTTTGAACGGTTGGAATATTGGATCATTTCTTGATCTCGACCCAGGATTGGATTTCATTTTTTTGCCCTGCAAAATGTAGGATTTTTTTCTTCTGTTTTCATCAATATTTGGGAAGGAGCTCTTACTTATATGAATGATATCCACACGTAAATACCATCGTCACAGAGGAAAAGCTCATTTGACACCACATTTGCATGTTTGGGACTGAGGATTATAGGAATCAGGGGGAATTTATTAAATCATGATAATGTTGTCTTGAGCAGTGGGTGAGGGGGAAGTGGAACTGAGAAGCAGCAGAAAGGCTCCTTGTTTGGAGTATGTTTAAGCCTAAGAACACACAACAAAGTGTCTGCATTGTCATGAGACTTTGGAACGTGAGGGTATCTTTTCACAAAGACAGTCTCCTCTGCATTGGCCAGATGTTTATCCATAATTAAAATACTGTAAAGATATGGACTCTCATTTTAATGAATACAAATATTTGTAGGTAAGCTATAGAAGGGCAGAAGACACCCCACGGTGTTTATACACATGCTTTGGGAGTGTGTGTGTGGGGGGGGGGGGGGGGTTTTATTAGAGTGGCTCCGGCTTTAATTAGAGCGTCTCTCGGAACCACTCTAATTAAAGCTCCCAGAGCGTCTCGTGTATCAGTGTCCCTGTGTTTCAAAATGGCGGCAGGGTGCTTTATCTAAAGCTCATCAAACGAGCTTTAGATAAAGCACTCCCTTCGCCATTTTGAAGTTCAGGGACATTGATACATGACACAATGGGAGGCTGCTGGAGCTCGGTAATTGCCATGCTCCAGCACTCTATTAATTGAGCCTGCTCTGATGTGCTGGAATTAGAGCGTATCGGAGCAGCCTCCCTGCTCATGTACTGTATAGGCACCATCCTAAACTAACTTGTTCAGATGGTCATGAGCTTTTATAGGCCAGAGAAAGGAATTAGACAACTTCGTGGAAGACAGGTCCCTTCTACACGTGCAGGTAAAGATGCAGTGGGATCTAATGTGCAATCCACACAGTTGTGCCTCCTGTCATGTTACATGCATGAGGCAGGTGGTGCAATTGTGGGATTGCACATTAGATTCCATTGCACCTTTATTAGTGGTGCAGAGGAGCTTGATCCCAGGCTCTCCCTGAACTAGCAAGAAGCAAACTCCCATGGCTGGGAGCCCCATGTATCCCACTTGAGGGGTTTGCAGCTGGAGAGGTCCCTACACACCCTCACAGCAGGGGGATCGCGATTCCTCCCTACCCAAGTGTGTATAAAACCCCTGGGGTGGGGAGATCACCACTGCAGCAATACCACCAGCCCCAGGGGTATGGGAAACCCTTGGGGCACCCATACCCCTAGGGCAGCAGGATCACTGCAGCAATAATCCTCTGGCTCTGCGGGTTTCCCACACCTCTGGTCTCGGGGGAAAAAACACCCTGTGGCTACTCTCTGGCCCCAGGGTTTTTCACACCTGAGAGCCCTGGGGATGGTGGCAGCTGCAGCCTCCAGGGTCCAGGGGTTTCATGCTGGGCAAAGTGAACCCCTATGGTTGGAAGCCACGTTAGCTGATGGGACTCCCAGCTGCAAGGGAGACCCTGCTACATGTTTAAATTAAAGCTCGATAGCAACCAACTATAGAGTTAATGCACTTTTTTTGAGGTCTAAATTTGTAGCTGGTTGGAGCTTTTTATTGTGTGATAGCTATTTTGCACGTGTAGCTGGTCTCCAGGTAACTGTACAACTAACCAGGTAATTGTGCAATACCCATACTGTGTAGAGAGGGCCTAAGGTGCTTCTCCTACCCTGCCTTCTGTCTAATTATTAAAAAAGTTATCCATTACTTCTAGTCTGTGTTTTCTGTCTCTAAGGCAGTTTCTAATCCATGACTTCAAATCACACCACTATTTAATTTTTTCAATAGGTTGTTATGAGGGCAGTATAATGAAATGCTGTATATTTCTACTAGCATCTCCTCACTAAATTCTTAGGTTTCAGAACTCTTTAGGTATATGCCATTTAGGTCTGATTTCTTTAATATATCAGTTTGTTGCAGCACTCTTTGAGACTGCAGTCGTCTTTTTATTATTAGAAAAGAATAGGAAAAAAAATAAGGTACCTCCCCAATATACTCTGCTATGAAGACCTACACAATAAGCTTATGCCTCTCTGAACCAGTTATTCTCTAAAGTGCTACTCTCCCCTTTCTGCCTGACTTCAAACTAACATGGCTAACTTCTAGAGCTGTGCGAAATTGACGGGTATTTCGTTTCGATGCATTTTGAGCTCGAAGCAGCAAAATCCAAATGAAACAAAAGGTTTTGAAATAGCTTTGAAGTGAAATGAAAGCACTTGAAATGTTTCAAGTTTCAAAGCAGCCCGGTGGTGGGAGGCAGGGGAGAGTCAGGGCTGCGCCAGCCCCAAGGAGCTCAGCCTGGCGGCGGGAGAGCCAGTGTTGGAGCTGCTT